CTTAGTTCTCTATCTGTGCTGATAGACAAGCAAGAAAAGACAAAACATTTTCACTTTTATTTTCATTACACAGGTCCATGAGAGACAATAGGAGCACAGCACAAATAGATAGCAGGAAGAGAAAAATAATGTGTGTTTGGTCAGCAACCAATCTTAGCTTTTTTTCATGGGAAAGAAATAGGTTTGACTAAGTTTGTGTTCTAACTTCAATTCAAAATACATTTTAATTGCATGTATTCTGTTTAGGGACCTTGATTATTTCTGTTTAATTTCTTTGTAATGTGAGGAGTTTTGTTTTTATCCTGGCCTGCAGCTGGACCTCCAGCAGTCTGCGTTTGTGGCAGGGCCTTCTGTTACAGTGAAAGTGGAAGTTCTTTGGTACAGAATGAAACTGAATTGAAAATGAAAATGGAAATACCAGATATCTGCAGCTTAAGGTGTTCAGTATGTACTTCCTAGTTACATTACACAGAAAAGAGCATTTACTGTCTTCACTTCTCTTAATGGTTTGTACTTTTTTATCCAATATTAAATAATTGTGATGTACTCTTCACCAGTTCTCAGCATTGTTTTTTGTATAATCCCTTTATGACAATTAACAGAGAAGGGTTTCTTTATGATTTCTATAGCTTTTCAAGTTTATATAGTGAAGTAGTAGTTCTTTGATGCTCAAGGTAATTTACAATAATTTTGAAGGTTTATAATTCCTTGCATATATGTGCACATGAGCCTACACAAACAAAACAGCTGAAATACACACAAAACACCACTGATTACTTTTAAAAGGGATAAAGTCATCTCAATCTGACACCACCTAATAAGTCTTCTTAGTGTTTTTGTAAAAATTACCTTTCTTTCTTGTTTACTAAACACTCATAATAGTGTTTTTGTAGCAGGGTCTACCAATAAACCTAAAGCTCTCAATACAGTAAAGATGCTGCCCTTTTAAATGAGTTTGGTTTGGGTCATTTTAAGATACTTTTAAGCTTTGAAATTACCTAGTATTCGTGGTGTGTTCTTGTCTCATCATTTTCGTTAGGCAGATTAGAACTAAATGGAAGCTGATTGGTTTCTTTTGAGCAGGTGTAGCCAAAGTTAATTAAACACTTGTGTTTTCTGTGGCCAAGCCACTTCTTTGGGCTGGTGGAATGTTGACAGCAGTGTTGTAAATTCTTGTCAATCTGCCTGTCACTCATTGCCTGTGAAAGTGCTGAGGAAATGACAAACAAATCTGTCATATGCTAAGGAAAGAGGAAATGCATGTTAAATTTTGATTTATTTTTCAGTCCTTCTCAGCCTGTTGCAGCTGTTGGCCCAGATGAGTTTTTGAGGATGCTGCTTCTCTTCAAGTCGTAATTTCTCAAAGGAAAATTGAGTTACTATAAAGGAATTACTCAATTTTCACACTCCACATCCTCCTGGACAAAATAAACTTGAAATCCATCTTGCTGCCTTTCTAAGCAATTGTTTCATTACTCCAGAAAGTCGGGAATTTCTGTCTGCCACTCTGAGTACTGCAAAGCCTGTGGAATGGCTTGTATATTCAGTGTTAGGATTAGTCTGTGTGGGAGTCATCACCTCCTCACCTCGGTGTTCCCCATTTATGTAAATTCTCTGCAGTCTCATGTTTGAAAGGGGAACAAAATCCTTAAATTCCTTAAAGTAAAAAAGTAATCTGTTCCCAAGCTGTTTCTTTCTGATGTTTAGGATAACTGGTTTAAAGGCTGGGGCTAAGGTGATGGCTAGGGTGACTGAGGTGGGAGTTCCTCAGGCTGCAGAGCTTGCCTATAATTAAGGAAGGAGGGGTGGAGGAAATTCTGCAATTAAATGGTTTTAATTCTGGCAAAACTGCAGTAAAAAGTAATGGGATGGGGCATATGCAGGGCAGTCCAGATTTACTTAGCAGTGTTAGAACCAGAGAGTGTTTTGTGCTCCTCTGCAGCACAGGAAGCCTGTTGACATTAATGGGTAGGAGATCTAATTACAAGTGAGTACAATTTCAAGAAATAAAAAGTCATTAAAAAAAGACACAAAGAAGCCAAAATTTGAGGGGAAGATATTTTAAAATAGTTTCGTTCTAACCAGGAGTCTCCCATCTTAATTTGTTTGCTTAAGTACCATCACAGGAAGAACTGGTCAGGCCTTGCAGGAGGTGCTCCCTGCCTTCTGGTCACAGGACTGTGCTTCTAGTCCTGCCTCTCCATCTTCCATGGCTGCAGTCACATGCCCTGTGCTGTCTGACCACGTATTGTTATGAGTTCAGACTTCCCTAAAAAACAATTTCTGTTTCCTTTGGGAGGAAAAAGAAACTGCAAGCCGAATTACCTTTTTTCTGCACCACTTTGTAACTTGACAGCGATCTCCTATTCTTTAGAAATGCATCTCATAAAGATGCTTCAGTCCTCAGTGTGTAGGAGAGAGATACCTGAGGTATTTGGATGACATTTAGAAATAATTTCTTTCTCCCCTTGCATTAATAATTAAAATAACCCTACCTGGATACTGAAGTAAAATCTAAATATATGACTGTATGTATATTGCATGTATTTTGCATTTTTGGTTTGCAAAGATATTTCTGAGAGGAAGTACTGAAGAAACTGTTGATGTGTCCTACAGCTGCATGGCCAACGTGCATGCCAGGAATTGCACCTCATTGTTTACTGCTGAGATACCTATTGTACTCATCAGAGCAATTCCCAGAATGAAAAAATCAAACACAACCAGAATGGTGTGGGAAAGTAAGATGGAAGTGAGCAAGTGGTGATATTTTCTATAGACTTTAAAAAAATTATCGTATGAGAGCTCCATGGATATAGAATGCTGTGCTGTATTTTGCCATTTTTTTAAAGTAGAAATGTTTTATCAATAGTAAAAACTGTAAGAACACCAAGCCCGCCATAGATAAATCTTGCAGGTTTTGTCGGAGCATGTAATTTTCAAGTTTTTTTATCATGATCCAGTACAGTAAAAGAATTCTTGGCATTTCTAAAATTTTGTGAAGTGCTTGTAGACACATTGGAATGTGATATTCACCCCTGTACTGCCACCTCTTTTATATTATGCTGCAGTTAGAAACACTACTAGAGCCTTTTCATTATTCCATCCAGCTCCCTCTCAGACTGGAGTCATAAATCTTTGTAGCTTACTTGCACTTTCTGAATAATACAGGGAGTCATAAATTAAAAATGAGTTTCAGACTCCTGAGTAACTTTCACATTTCTGAAAAGTTGACTCATTGAAAAAAAATTTCATCCTACCTCTTCAGCTGAAGTGCTGAAGTTGGTTCGTGTGTGTCAGGATTTTTCCAGACCTGCCCCTGACATATGGGCTTCTTAATTTTTAGCTTTTGAGCATAACTTTACACATCATGTTTAACTGCTAGAAAGAGTATTTGATTTTTCGCATCTGCTTGGAATCTTTTAGGTTTGTTGAGAGTGCTGTACTTGAGGCAAGCTCGCAGGAAGGGTTTTCTGACAGTCTTAGAGAATCCTCAGCCAAAAATTTGCCTTGAGACATGGGAACATAGCTCTAGCTGGAGTCACATGAGCCAAGTCTGAATTCATCAGAAAAGCTGAATCACTGGATGAGTAATTGCCCCTAGCAATCAGAGGACATGGCTTCATGTGTGTTTACCAAGCAGGGCTTTAAAAGCTTTGAGAAATGGATTTCTGAGTATGTTGAATTTTAAGGGTTTTGACTGGAGGTACCTCTATATTTGAGTTGGAAATAAATCTCTTACAGCACAAACTCAAAGGTTTTAGTTGTTTATGTTTGGAAAATAATGCGTAATTATTTATGGAAGTATTTTCTGGGTTTGAAAATCTGTACAAGGTGAAGTGACCTACTCTGGTTCAGCATAATGCTCCCAAGTACTTGTTTCCAAATTCTACATTTCTAATTTCTTAACCATCTTCTTTCTTTCCGTTTGCCACTTTTAATTAAATTTTAACTGCCCTCTGAATGATGAGCTGGTACTAAACAAGATGAATGATAAATGTTGCATATAATTTTAGTACTGGAAAATTAAAGAGGAGATTCAAAATACGTGATTTTATAAAATATGTGATATACCTGTAATGAGACACCTTCTGTGCTTTTTTACAGTTAGTGCTTAACCTAGATAAAGGTGCACTCTGTTTATATCAAATAGAACTGATGAAGCCAAAAAGACAACATGCAGCAAACTTTGTGAGACAGTTTTAGTTGGTGATAGATGTCTGTGGTGCTGAACTTTGTTACGATGTAGTCACAGGGGAACATGAAACACCCTTGTAGCTTGAAGTGGAATAAGTTCTGTAATTGTATTCCAATAGCTAAAATAGCTTTAGAGCATCAACAGAGCATTCACAAACTTCTACTGCTAGAACTGGAACAGAAAAATCTCACAAAAGTATAGGGGGAATGGTTCATATTACAAGTGCTCAGTAGGTGGAAAAACAGCTGAAAGATGGAGAGCTTGGGGTTTTAAAGCTGGTTATTTATGTAGTTTCTATTCAGACATAAAGAGTATTTCAGTCTGTTCTAGTCTGGAGTTTTTGTTTGGTTTTGGTTTTTTAAGTCTTTTTTAAATCTATTGTATAATTGTGTGTATAGTACTTAACTTGATTAATAATATTCAATGCAGAGCGAGGTTGACTCTTCCACATCTACATCCAGTGCTCAGGTAATGGATTTGAAATCAAAGTTACCCTTCCTGATGGTCTCTCAGCAGTTATTTGAAAAGATACAGGCAAACAACAGCTTACTTGCCAATATTTCGAATTAAAAACAAAATTGTAACTGGAAAGTGGGTTTTTTCCTGTTAGAGAACAAAAGCTATGACTTAAAACTTTAAGTTTTCATTGCACATGAAATGCAATTATTGTTTACAAGCAAACATGACAGCCCTTTATTCTTATTAACTATTTCTTATTTTCCTCCTTCTATTAGCACTGATGCATATCTGAAAAAAGGTGATGATCAGTTTGGGTTTGTTTTTTTTTTCCTTTTTATCTATTAAGGTTCTTGCTAAGAGAGATCCAACTCAAAGTACCATCAAAGAGGAAAAAGTCCATCTGTTGAAGTACAATATAGGAGATCTAGTGTGGTCAAAAGTGTCTGGTTTCCCGTGGTGGCCATGTATGGTTTCTGCTGATCCTGTTCTCCATGCCTACACTAAACTAAAAGGTATGTAATTCAGATTTCTTCAGATATACAAAGTGATTGCTTTGGAAAAATTCTGTTCTTCATCTATGCCGTTGGTCAGCAACTTGTTGTCAACAGGAATGTTAAAATCATGTGAATGCTATTGTTGAGCATATAGCAGTGTATCTTTTAACTCAAGTGTTCTCTGAAAGGTACCAAAATTGTTATCTGTCAAACTGTGTGGAGTCTTGTTAAAAAAAGAAAAAACCCAAACCTGACGGTGTTTTTCATTGTTTTTGTGGAGATGCTTGGTAAATTGATACAGGCTGAAAATTTTATTAAAGCTGATGGGAATTAAATATTCTTGATGATTATAGTTTACTAAAAGCAATCTATAATTCAGGCAGCTAAATTTTCTGATTCATAGAGTCAATACTGATACCTACAGACAATGGTTGATTTTAAATGCAGGAACTACCAAGTATTAATGAATTTTTTAGGTATGAACCTGTACAATTTCTTAATATCATTTGTACCTTTGTTCTCTGTTCTGATACCTGAAACTTTTGAGGCTTAGTAGCAATAAATATTTAGACTACACATTAAGAAAGAGTTGGAAGGGCTGGAGGCTGTGAGGCATTGGGGTGGATTGCCCAGAGAAATGGTCTGATCTCATTCATAGGAGGTTTTAAAGAACAAATTGAATTAATATCTCTAGGATTATAGCTAGATTCAAAATTGGTAGTAAACTAAATGGCTTCTTGAGAACCTTTTCAAGGATTTATAATACAGTTGTTGGAATGGTTATTATAGACTCATTAGACAAATTTTCCTTGTGGCAGTCTTTCAGAGTTTGGATCAGGCAGTCCTTGTCATTTGTAGTCTTTGGATTATTAGGTCTACTATGACATTAAGAGATGGATTTTGAGAGTGGTAGAGCTGCTTATTGGTTCCTATCAATTACTCTGTTCCTTGAAAGGAGCAAGGTTTATGTTCATTATCAGGAATCTTTGTAGTACATCTTTATCAGAAACTATAGGAACAGACCCAGCAAAACCCAGTACCAAATGTCTGAATGCAGCCTGTGGAGCACAAACAGAAAGAAGGGCTCACGTACTAAAGGCCAAATCCTTTATTGATTCCTTTGATTCCTGAAAAATCTTGATTATTATGAAGTTCTGATTGCAAGGGTTAAAACCAGATTAAGTATATGTCTCTGTTGAAGAATATTAAAAGATAAAGTTCAGGAGACTCAGAGAGGAGGCTGAGTGCACGAGCTCTCCAAGCTGTGGAACTTTCTCAGCGTTTATTGAGAAATGAATGCTAAATTCATTTTCAGCAGCACCCAGACCTACATGTAAAGTTAATACACATGGAAAACTGACAGGTGACTGTAACCTGGAGTTAATTTAGCCAAGCATGTTCCTACTGGGAATTAAACTATGGAGCTTTGGGGTCAGACTTCATACATTATATCTCAGAGACTTTCAGGCTGGTTACGTGGGTTTTTGAAAGGTTATCAAGTTTTATTGTGCTTTTGTAGTGGCAACTGTAGCAGCTTACAGACTTCAAGTCTGAAAGTGCAGAGCCTTACCAGAGTTTATATCTTAAATACACTTGGGGTTTTTTTAATTTTCAGGACAGAAGAAGAGTTTTCGTCAATATCACGTTCAGTTTTTTGGAGATGCCCCAGAGCGAGCCTGGATATTTGAGAAGAGCCTGGTGCCTTTCAAAGAAAAAGACCAGTTTGAACAATTATGCCAAGAGAGTGCAAGACAAGCCCTCACTAAAGCAGAGAAAATAAAGGTAAGAGGTTACCATATCAGGCAAGATTTGGAGCTTTTTTATTTTAGCATTACAGGTAGTACAGATATAAATAGGTATGATAAAAAGCTTAAAGACAGCTTGTTTTACAGGATCTTGCAGTCTTACATTTTATTTACAGATGCAAAGGATGGGGTGATTTACCGTTATTTGTTACTCAGTAAAAATTAGTACTCTTCTACTTTGTCATGGATTCGTGTGTGGTGTCAGTACTATCAAATACAGCTCCATATGGACTCTGAATGACAGATCTGCATGACAGTTAGTCTCTTGGGATTGTTTTCTGTTAATGTCAGCATTTTGAAATCACAAGAAGGCAGATGCCTCACACGGTTGTCTCCTCTTGCAGATGCTGAAGCCCGTGTCAGGGAAGCTGCGGCCACAGTGGGAGATGGGTGTGAAGCAAGCCAGTGAAGCCGTGGGCATGACAGTGGAGGAGCGCAGGGCCAAGTTCACCTTCATCTATGTCAGGGACAGACCTCATCTTAATCCTCGAGTGGCAAAGGAGGTTGGCATTGCTGTGGAACCCTTGGAGGAGATGGATGAGTCATCCTGCTCAAATGAAGAAACCACTCCAAATCTGAAATCAATGAAAGAGTCTGGCATTCCTAGCAAGAGGAGGAGAAGGACATCAAAACTGTCTGCTGCTGATGATATACAAGAGAGCAGTCAGTTGGAGGATAAGAATACTACTCCTCAAAAGTCATCTGAACAGGCAGAATCCAAAAGAGGGATAGGCTCCCCTCTCAATAGAAAGAAAACTCCAGCGTCTACTCCACGAAGCAGAAAGGGCGATGCAGTATCTCAGTTTTTGGTCTTTTGTCAGAAGTACAGAGATGAGGTTAGTCTCTTTTAGCTGTTATTATTGTTGATTGCCTCTTCTAATTTCTGTACTTGAAAAAACATCTTTAGTAAACAAAAATTAGTTATTACTGCACAATCCATAATATTCTGGGTTTGATGAGGTAAGCCCACATCAAATCTTACTGAAGACAGAAATAGAGAAAGAAGGGAATGAAAGTGAGCAATATAAACAAGATGGTGGTAACTGCCTTTGTATTTCAAACAAAAGTTGTGTTAGTGTCTTCCCACATAAACTAATAGTCCTTTGTATTAGCCATATTTTGTCTTTAATATATATACAATATAATACATATGCATATATATATGCTCAGGTAAATATAACAAAGATTATGCTGTTTATGGCAGTCTGCTTGTAGATGACTTTTGCATTCTTTCTGAGGACATGGCTCAGTTGCTTCGTTGTGTTCCCTTATCTTTGAGCACCTCAAAACCTCATTTACTTACCCAGAACCTTTTGCTGAGCTTCAAAAGCAGCTTGTAAAAATCACTGCCAGTGTGTGCAATCTGCTGGGACAGAAACTAGGTCCTCTTGAGGTACTTATACTTGAGGTACTTATACAAGGTAGAATAAGTAAATGCCTTATTATCAACGTTTTTTAGGAAGACTGTTAAAAGTGTGAAAGCATTACTGCTGGTGTAGTTCATTACTTTAAAATCAGGTCTATAATTTTACTTCTTACAGCCTTTTGCTCCATTTGCAGTACTATTCCATGATCTGAAGCCAGTGTAATATGTTACGTTTTCTTGTATTTGTACTCTTAGATATTGTTCACAGAAGGATCAGGAAGCTGAGTAGTGACTTTGTCATACTCTTTAGCTACTGAATGGTCGACTTCATTATAGCATATTTGTATTAGAAAAGAATTAATAGATGTAAATTTTATAAAGAAATACTGGAAAACAGATTCTGTTGTACAGAAGTCAATTAGTTGTGGTTCAACTTGGGATCTTATTAGATCATTGAAACTTAAGCTAATATTGAGAATGAAAATGAGCACAGTGTTACATAAACCTTTTAGTGGCTTTGGTTAAATTGAGAAAAGCATTGGCATTGCAGTTTGCTGGCTCTGGAAAGGAAATGGTTTTGTAGCCAGACCATTAAATACAGATTTTGACATACTAATCATGAAAAGCTGTATGGGTAAATCATCTGTCTTATGTTAGAGACACATGAGTTCTGTTCACAGTTCTGTAAGTGACATTCCAAGAGGGAATTACCTTGGTCTTCAATGTATGTAGCAAAAAGTCTTTTGCAGTAGTGAGGGACATAAAATTGCTTCTCTGGAAGAACTGAGATTATGATGGCTGGCTTTATGGACTCTTAGCCAAACATATCTTGCAGAGAAGAGATGTGCTGAGTCTCTGATATTTCTGTTTTCTTTGCCAGTTATCAGGCTTTGTTCCCTACTGTGGTTATACTGTAATTCTCAAATTAATAGATGGAAAATATGAAGACTATTAGAATATATGAAATTTAGGAAATGCTTTGTCTTCATTGTCATTTCAGGAAATTGAAAAACTTTCTTAAACTTGAAATTTTCACTGACGATAGTGGCTAATGTTGCACAAGTTTAAGTAGAAGGAAGTAAGTTTAAAAATATAACATATTTTTAGAGAGAGGGCATCCTGCCATTTCTGCCTAGAATACCTTTTAATAAGATCTGTCATGAAAACCCAAATCTGCCTGAATGTGTGATCCATTCTAACAGGTACAGAAACACTTCTGTGGGTAGAACAGAACTAGGTTGTGAAAGCTGCAGATACCTCTAAATGATCATCAGAAGAACCTGTCTTCCCTGTGTCTTGATTGGAATTTGACTGGCAAAGTGAGGAAACACCAATTTAGATATTTATGCTTTTTGCCTTTCATGTTGCTTTTATAATGGCAGGTTCATGCCATTGGTGGAAGGTGGAGGTTGTACCCAGTTTATTTGGAGTGTCCCCTTCTGTTAGGCTTATCTGGTTCAACTTGGGTAACTTTCACCAAGGTTTGTTTTGTTGTCTTGTAGATGTTCTGATGCTTTGGAAAGAGTGATAATGTTGGCTAAGAAACAAACCTGGTTTTGAGCTACTTGTATTGGTGGCATTGGAGAGTTTAGTGTATGGCTTTCTTAGTATATGCATGTAAAAACTTAGGAAGAAAGGAACATCACAGACCCAGAAGAGGCTCTCTGTCCCCAGTCTTGGGGAGGGACAGAAATGAAAGGGATGACTGAAGACTACTCTTGCAGGGCCTTTAGTAATACCAAGTTCTGTTGAAAGTAGAGCCATTTCTGCTGTGTCTTGTTTGGAGTCTGGCTTTGTGTGGTAGTGAGATTAATATATCAGTTTAATTTTATTATTATTTAACTACTGGAATATGTTTTTAATGATTTAAGAGACACACTTCCCACATCCCTGAGGGAGGTGCTGAAAGCTTGGAGTGCTTTTGTGGTTGTGGTGATGCATTAAGTATTTTGTGCTGTTACCAAAGGAGTAAAGATGTATTTTGTGCTGTTGTTATTATGTGCTTCCCTTGTGAAAAATATAAGCCTAGTAAGCACTGGAAGGATCTGATTGGAGATAAAGGTATCATTCAAGTGAGAGGCAGACAACTACACTGTTTACATTAATTGATTTGGCCACGAGTCTGTTGGAGAAAAGTTAAGGAGCCATTTCACTAACAGGGAGACTTTGGAGAAGACCACTGAACATTTTCCTTGGAGGCCTTACTTGCAAGGGTCCCTTCACCATTAAGAATTCTGAGTGTGTTTTCCTTGTCATTTCACAGTACTGCTGGTCAGCTGAAAGTTATTTTTATTCTTACTTTGTTGAGACTGGAGGTAATGTTAATGTGTATCTCATTTGTCTGAATAAATCTAGTTATTTCTCAGATAATTAAATGGTTCTGTGCCCTCATTGAGCACAATGACCTGGACATTTGTGACAGCAGTCAAAATTGATGCTAATTTCATGTCCTGAAGAAGTGAGATTTGTGGAAGGGGGTGTCTTGTGGGTTTATGTTCCTCCCTTTCAATAATGTGAATCCAGTTGTTGGATTTTAATCAAACTTTGAGCAGAGGCTTTCAAAGGTATTTGTACTCCTCAAGCCTTATGCAGATGGATTATGCTACATAGAAACAAGACAATTCTTAGTACTCTACTAGGAGAAAAAGCATGGATTTCCATAATTAGATACTGACCAATGGAAGGAAGGTACTGCAACTATTTTAAGACCTTGAAAAGCAGCAGTCATATTTGCATCCTGTTTGATAACAGGAAATGTAGTTTTAAGACCCTAAATTCTAAGAAATTAGGCTTAGTCATTTCACCTTATCAGAAAAATTGTATTTTTGTTCTGTTGAATGGTGTTACTCTTTGAATGATTGGTTTTCTTGACGTAGATTTTGATTTCTCTGTGTTTTTGGAGTATCAGTTGCATCACTCAGGGTTTTAGGGAATGCTGGGTAATGAGATGAGGATTGTTTTCAAATGTACTGTTTCATTTCTGTACAAGCCTAGAGTTTTTTGACTTGTATGATTAATCAAATCTGATTTTCCTTAAGTAGAAGTAGGGGGGGGATGTACAGAAGGAGTTTGGGAGGATTTTTTCTTTGTTTTTAATACTTGTTTTATTTTTTTTTGGTGTTGAATACACTTCTACAAACTCTATTAAACTACATGTTGATGGATATTATGTGTCCTGCCTATAGCATTAAAAAAGATGTACAGCTTGTGAGTTTCTAGTGTTCATATGCATAATACAAAAATGATGAATCAATACAGGAAAATGTTGAATCAGATGCTAACTTGTGTAAATTACTCTGCTGAGTTAGGTGCACTGAGTTCTATGATTAATGAGTTTTGCTGTGAATTGATGGATTTCTTTCTAGGCAAGCATATATTCCAGTATTGCTTGCCTGTCATTTGTGGATTTATATTTAAACTTCATTGAGAAGCAATACACGGTTTTTTTGAATGACCACAGGACAAGATTTATACTTACTCCACTTACTCCATTTTTTGAATGGCAAAGGGCAAATGGATACTTCCAAAATTAGTCTTAATACTTCTGAATAAGCTAAATTACTTTTTTTTTAAGACACAGAGAAGTGGTTATTCAAAGCAAAACTAGATACAGTAGGATTTATTCTAGTTCTGTCTACAGCAGAAATATTAGATAACTTGTTTGTATCCAGTTTTCCAAAGTGATGGAAGTGGGTACAGCGTTCTTTCCAATGGTCACCTTTTTTTTAATTCAACCCTATTTCTGCATGTATAGGTGGTTGCTGAACATCCAGATGCTTCGAGTGAGGAGATTGAAGAGCTGCTCGAATCGCAGTGGAACATGCTTAGTGAAAAACAGAAAGCTCGCTATAACACAAAGTTTGCCATAGTGACCTCTCCCAAATCTGAAGAAGACTCTGGTAAACGTAAAACTGTGCTAGTGTACTCTAACTAAATTTGATATACATAGTGGCGTTAAACTAAGCACATATTTGAGACCCTGTAGGGAAAACAGCTTTCACTGTTTTCCAGTTTTAATTCTTGGTGTTTGTGCCAATAGCAAAGGAATGCCAATGGTTACAATAAACGCAACCCATGAAGTCTACATTTCTTGCTCATTGTTCTGAAAAGTTGTTATATGTAAACCTTCTGCTGTTTAGACATTGCTGATTTCTCATTCTTCTTCTGCCCATAAGCAGCTGCCATTGCATCCACTGCTTGTTACAAGTGGATGGTGGGAAGGGAAGATGAAGTGTTACTGCTAGTAAAATTTGAGATGTTGTTTTTATAGAACAGTTAGAATTAATCAGTGCTACACCTTTTCTTCATATATGCCTAAAGCGTATTACTTCACATCATCATCAACTCAGGAAGAGCTATTCCAAACTTTATTCTGAACCCTTCACCCATTTGGCATTTTATTGTGTTACTCCAAGTTTTTAGGACTTTGTGCAAGTTTGCAAGTACTTTAGTTTTTCTCTCCTTATATTTTTTGTTGCTGTTTTCTGATGTTTGTTTTTTGATGAACAGTCTCGATTGTTTTCCAAAATATTTGAGGGTGTTTGGAGTCACTTACTTGAGAAAGGAGGAGGAAGAAGATAGTTTGCCATTTGCATGAACTCTTATCAAATTTAACTAGCAATCATTTTTGAAATTTAAATAGCTTTACAGCATTTTAAGAAGGCTCACTATGGAAGTATTAGAAGCCAACAGGTGCTGCTTTGGGCAATGACAAGAATGAGAGGGAGTGTTTGAAAGTTTGTGAGACTTGGAAAAACTTGTATAAAAATGGCAGTCAGTTTTGTTAACTATCTGTGTGTGTGTGTGAAATAACATAATTTTGTGGAAAAAATGAAAAGTTTTTAACTTTAAAATTTAAGTGTTAAATATTTGGATATCAGTTTAAAAAAAACACACATTCTGTATCTCTCAAGGTTCATCATTGAAGAATATTGGAGAGGCCAAACGTAAAGTGTTTCAAGACTCACCTAAAAGGAGATCAAGATCCAGAAGTAATTGAAATTTGTGTTGTGTGCAAATAGCTCATCATTATAAGTAGCTATTGAGTGTATTTTTTTATGTAATCGCCCACGTATCATAATCTCTTCATTTTTTCTCAGATGTTGTCTTCCTTGACGTTAGAACTTTAATGGATCCCAAATTAAATATCTTAACACTGTAGTGCTGAATTTTGTTCACCTTCCTCAGTGTCATATTGCAAGAAATGTAATTGAAATTGTACCTGTACCAGGTGTTTCTAGTACATATATTGTGTACATTTATAGTTACCTATAGATGAAAATATGTCAGTTCACTTGTTCCCCATCTCAAATCCTCTTATCTTAAATTTGGAAGAATGTTCTGGGATTTTTTTTGCTGGCTTTTTGTGAGTAGCAGGTTCTCCTGGAGCCATTTCAGTCTGCTTTGTGGATTTAGTTTGATCATAGAATATGTCCTAGATTATTTAGATAAGAACATTAATTTGAAAATTATCCATATTTTTAAATAGCTATATTTTTAATATTTGCAGACATTTGTTCCCACTGGAATAGAATGCTTGTAGCTGTAGGGCAATTTTCAGTTAACATATTTGTGCCCCTGGAGCTTGCAATTTTCATACTAATAATACTCTGTAGCTTCATGAACTAGAGAGTACTAGATAGTGTAATTATGTTGTCATTTCATCTTGATGAAACAGACCACTTCCCAAACCCTCATCTATCTCTTTGAGGTGCAGACAATAGTGGAACCTGTGGCAGGGGTATGTAGATTACTCACTGACCTTTTGTATTTAGCAGCTGCTTGAACTTTACCATCTAAATACATGAATAACTGTGGTCTAAAATGGCCAATGTGGTTCTGTTCATAGGATTCTGATTCATAAAGGCAAGGGATCTTATGGTCTCATGTAAAATACAGTCAGCTTGTTAGAGTCTGGAATTGCCATACCAGAAAGAATTAATCCGTGCAGTTGGTGATATCTTGTTTTTTCAGAGGCCCCTTAGTAGATCACCACTTAAAGTAAGCTTAAGGAGGAGACTTAGAAAGTCATTTTAGTGGTAAGACACAGTTACAAAGTGCCAGGAGAGTTAAAAGCTGTACAGATCAGTCACGTGCAGTTCGATGATACCAAACAAATGTTGGACAGTAACGTTCTGATCTTAAACTAGTTTTCGCATAGGTGGATTCATCTTTGTAAAATAACTTTGAGTATGAAGCAGTTGATTTGGATTTGTTCTAGAGTTAGTCTTCAGCACCAGAAACCAGACCCTAAGCAGGGTCATCAAACTGTGTTAATGTTTAACCATGTTTTAAAAATAATGACTGAAAGAAAAGTACCTTAAATAACTAGATCAGTTCAAATAATTTCAAAGTGGGTTTTAGATTATTTTTCATGTGAGTTTCCCCCATCCCCCATCCCAAGGTAATTTACATGGAAATAAAAGAAACCAAAAAAAGAGGACAAAGGAGCCTACAGAAGATTTTGAAGTTCAGGAAGCACCTAGGAAAAGACTCAGGATGGATAAACAGAATAATCGGAAGGTAATTATGTCATTGGTTTGTTGGGGTTAATTTATAGCAGCACCAGTCACATTGCTGTAGTTAAGTTTGTCAGCATTTCCATTTTCAGGATTAAAAAAGAAATGTCCATATTTCATACCAAACTGTGTCAATATTCAGAGATACATGTGAGCATACCACTGTGGGATTTTTTTCTTTGGTTTTGGAGGATGGAGGTATGAAAAGCTGCAGCTGCTACTTAAACTGTTTCCCAAAGGAACATGCAGAGGGAGGCATGACCTCTCTGTGCTGTTATGCTCTGTAGTTCTTTCTCTTTCCTCCTGATTTGGAATTATTTTTACCAGAATGTAAAAGAAATACCTTTAGTGAATAGTTACTTTAGACAAAAGTAACAGAAGAAAGCCAATCAAGCAAAACAGAAAAACTACTTTTCACAAACTGGAAGGCTTTAGGACATTTTAGAGTCGCATGCTGACCCTTTTCTTGGGAAAGGAGATTGCAGTAAATATATATTTATGCAGTGAAAGTATATTTATCACACAAATTACAGGCTCCTTTTCTGGTTAGCTTGCTTCTGAGAATGAGAATTTTCCTTACATAGGTCACTATGTATGTGCACACAGGACAAATCTTGTGGGGACTCAGGCACAGGTTTATTTACTCTGCATGTAGAGCAGTGAATTTCATGGGTTTTACTCGTGTAGAAAGCTTAGCTCACACGTGTGTTGAGGTGTGTTATTGCAGTATCATACTGTAGTGTGAGTACCACAGACCTGAGCTCAGACCTTCAGTGGTGCAGCAATCAGATTAAACAACCTAATAGAAGGAAAGGTAGTAGATTTATTTTTTAAATTAATTGTGGGGGTCTTATTTGTAGATGTCAGTTTGTTTGGTGTGCTGGTTATTTTACTGCTTCTGTTGATATTGTAGATATTAAGACAATTTGTTGTCTTAGAGTTTAATATATAAAAAAACATAGAATTACAGATAGGCTTAATGAGCTGATTAAATTGGCAAGGGACAGAGATAATTATTAATGTTGTTACCTTTGCAGGAAGAAGGGCCAAAACTAGTTTTTATACTTCTTGCTGGAATGGATTAGTCTTTGCATACTCATGTGACTTTCCAGGAGTAGTTTCTCAAACCTTTTTAAACTCGTCTAATTGATTTGAATACATTATAATGCACTAGATCCATAACAGAGTTTACTTATTATAATTAATTCCTCCTATAAAGTCCTTGTTTTGACTGTTCTAAAGGTACTTTCCAGTCCCACCAGTATTTGTACACTACAATTAGCCTACATTCTCAGATGTAGGATGAAAGGTGGTTGCAGTGTAGTTCATGCATGGGAGGTTCTGGCACATGACACATATGTGAATGTACCAGCAGGAAAATAAATAACTAAAAGAGGTGAATGATTCTCATAATATTTATAGCACTGATGGCGCTGATTTTGTAATGTGCATTTTTAAAATGTTGTTCTCTCTCTGGTCAGTTTATCAGAACTGAATGCTGTTTGATGTATGTAAATATTAGGGAGTTTGGAAACTCTAAATGCATATAGCAGGGTTTGTGCTCCACAGAAAGGTCAGATATGGTTTGCAGTTTGTTTTAGGAATTCTCTCTTAGTCTTTTTCCTGCCTTCACAGTCCCAAGGCACTTCCAGATGTATGTGCTGCTGCTTAGTAGAATATTCACTGAATTACAGTGAAAATATGTCATGAATGATTCAAAAAGGCAAACACTAACCATACACCTTATTTTCTGCTATTCTCAGTTTACCTGCAGGCTTTAGTTACAGTCATTTTGGATAGTAGGAGCTTTAATTTAATGGCATTTTACTTCTTGCACAAGAGTTGTGGGTTATACTGTCCCTTTGTCCTTAATTCTTATTTACAAATTCAGAATGTTTTCACATAAAGTAACCAAGCCATAAGTACCCATGTGGAAGTTTTGAAAAACTAATTTGTTCACTGTTGCTTTGATGATGTATATAAAATGCACATTAACAAAATGGGGGTTCTGTAAAGTGTGCTTTAAATTTAAGAATGAACTATCCTGTGCATTTTCACAGAATCACAGAATCCTTAGGATTGGAAGGGGCCTCTGGAAATCATCCAGTCCAATCCCCCTGCCAAGACAGGGTCATCTAGAGCAGGTTACACAGGAATGTGTCCAGGTGGGTTTGGAATGTCTCCAGAGATGGAGACTCCACGACCTCTGTGGGCAACTGTTCCAATGCTCTGCCACCCCAAAGTAAAGAAATCTTCCTCTTGTTGAGGTCGAACTTTGTGTTTTAGTTTATGGCCATTACTCCTTGTCTGGTCACTGGGCACTACGGAAAAGTGTCTGGCACCCTCCTCTTGACACGCTCTTTTCCTTCATTTTTGCCCAGAAGTGTAACAGTAATCTTAGAAAACCAATACTGGGAGCCTCTGGTGGCATTGGTGGTAGGGCAGCTCAGTAACAGCACAGGGTGGCACATCTGTCACCAGTCGTGTTTATTTTTACAAAGGAAATCAATTCTCTGGCCTTTGAGGTGTTCACCTGCACATCTTTGTTTGGTAAAACTGAGTGTCAGATGATGACTGTGAAAAAGCATGTAAAGCATTGGAAATGTGTGTAAAGCTTTCTGTTAATAGAGTTGTGCTTATTAATCAGGTGAGCATGTGTCAGGGTTGAGTATTCTAGGCTATAGTTTTAGTAATTTGAATGAATATGTAACATAAGAAATGGAAAATAATAGTGGCATGTTTGAGGAACAACATCTTAATTTTGACAAAGATTTGACAAAAACTTCCCCAGTTTTTTGGCCTAAACTTTTAATCATGAATTCTCAATCTGGAGCAAATTTAGGTGCTGTTTATTCTCCCTTGAAAATAGTGGTTTTATTTTGGAAATGCTGAAACAATCTTAACCATAGTAATATAAAATATGGCACTGCTATAAGTTGTGGAGTTGGAAGCAAGCCTCTCTGAGACTTAGAGTTCTGCACAGGATTTGCTCTCTAATTTCTATAGTAATTCTGCAATTTACCTTTAATAATTAAAGGTTTTCATTTGACCAGTTTGTATAGAGAGTAGTAAGGATAATTTACAAGTTTTGTATTCATTTAGCACTCCCCTTTTGATATGCTAAATTTGGGATGGATAAGTGGGATGCTGAAGTACTGTGTTCTTTAATATTTCTCATTTGTTTATGGGTTTGTACCCTGTGCTGTAAATGAGTTTTAAAATTCACTTAAGTGGGACTAGTTTAACTACAGTACCATTCAGATATTTGTAAAGACACTTTCTTTTTAATAACATAAATCCAGAACTAATTGCCAGTTGTATCCAACCACTCATAAATTAGGAGTTTTTTTATTTTTTTCATATTTTTTTTTGTGACAGAGGGAGACAAGCAATGACAAAACAGCAAAAACAAACTCTTCTAAAGTCACAGAAACCTCCTCTTCACAAAAGAACCAGTCAGGTAATGTGGTCAGAATAAGTTTTAATGTAACTTTTTCAATTAAATAATTTTAAAATGCCCAGGTTGTCTGAGGCAGCTGGCTAAATTCCGCTGACTCAGTGAGCAGTTGCAGGCACTGTGCCACAGCTGGGGGGGAGCCCTGTTCCTTCACTGCCCTCCTGCAGCTCGATCCTGGACTGAAATTGTGCATTGCTGGTTGAGAGCAGCAGTTCACAAGTTCCCCGTGTGATGGCACCAGATTAAAGCTGCTGCCCTGAGATATTGGCGAGCAGAGAGCAAACCCTGCTGCTCCCGTTTGCCCTCTGCACTGGCCCAGTAAAACAAGTGCAGTGACCATCAGTGTCATCTGGTACTCTGGGGTTTTAGTCCTTCGAAATGGTGCTGGATGGGAGGCAGTGTGGAGCACAAGAGGGAATTCTGTAGAACCTTGGATCAAAACACCAAAGTCAGATTTGTTAATGATGCTCTAGTTTAAGGCAACTGCTATCAGAGCATATCTCTTCAGGTGTTACAGTGATTTGCCAAAGACAAGCGAGCTTCAGCAAGTCCTGCACGGTGCAGAAGTGGTGACGTGCCATAGCTAATGTGTGGTACTTGGCTCCTGTATATAAATTTTCTCTTAACAAAGTGTTAGTAGTATTCAGATTTGATGAGCTCTCTTAGGCCTTCTCATAATTGTTACCTCTGCTTTAAAGAGGTCTAAGTCACAAGATACTTTGATTTTAATAGAAATGAGACTATAAAAAATTGGGAAAACATTTCTTAGCACATATTTGATTAATGGAGACCTTTATTTTTAAAATCAAACCAAAATACATGGCTTCAGAAGCTTCATGTTCACTCAGTCCTAATGAGGTGCCCAGAAGATGTGCCTAAATAATTCCTTCCTGTATCTGAAGGACTATTTTAAATGGCTTCAGGGAGATAACATTTTAAAGTTCCAAACTTCACTTTGTAAACCAAAATTATTTTACAGCAACGAAAAATCTGTCTGATGCATGTAAACCTCTGAAGAAGCGAAATCGGGCTTCAGCAGCAGAATCTTCAACTCTTGCTTTTAGCAAGAGTTCATCTCCTTCAGCTTCCTTAACTGAGAATGAGGTAAAAAAAAAGTGGTGTTTGCACACAGCCATTTAATTACAGAAATTTTCAGGTGTGAATCTTGTTTAAAAAAAAAAAAAAAAGGCAAAAATCCAAGGCGAATTCTCTAACGTTGGTGCTCTAGACAAGTTACAGTTTTGGCCTCTGTGAAACCTGTTAACGTGTGCATTGCAAATCATTTATTGTAACACGAACGTCTGATTTGGGGACGTCGAGATATTATTGTGGTTTTTAATGTATTTACCAACAACGTTTTAGAATTGTAACCTTCTATTAGAGGCAAAGTAAAATGCCAGTGTGTTCTGTATTTTCTTCTACAGACTTTTATGTAAGTGTACTACGTTAGTTACATTATGTAACTCAATATTGTCATGTTGCCATAGCTTTTATATCGAAGCAAATTTCCTAATCCTCTGTTTGATCTAGAACTGGGCAGTCTTCTGAGCAGAGCCCCTTTTAACTCAGATTAATTTTCAGACTGTTTTAGTGCTATTTCTCTGTGATGCAAATAGCTCCAACTCCAGTAGAGTTAAACAGGCAGTGAAGGATGTATCTTTTTGATACTTGCTAATCATAGTCTTAGCTCTGCATATTTGGAACTGTAATTCTTCTCAGTTGACATACAATAAATGAAATGTATGTACCAGAAGTGTATTCATACAATCCATTAAACCATTCCCCAAGTCATCTACACTGTTAAAACCAATCGGCCAAAGAGTGGCAGCATGGGGGTGAAGTATGCATGCTGTTTTGCAGGTGGGTTTGGATCTGTAGTTGGTAGGATTAGTAAAATATCCATAGAAAAACAGCTTCACTCAGTTTGTGTTACAAAAACTGTAGAGAAAATACTTGCCTGCTAACAAGGGAAAAGGGCTTCCAGCTCTCCTAGAGACTTTCATCTTCCCTAACAAATGCATGAGGTGCTGTTATGAATGCAGTTAAAATACCTAGGCAATGTTCAGTAAACAGTTTACCTTTGGGTAAGGAAAAAAGATTGCATGTTAATGGCTGTATATCTTAACTGTAAATGGAAAAACATTTTAACTAGAAGAACGTCAATAAATACTCCCTCCTGTACCCCAATAAAACAAGCAAAGGAGGTCCCACAGGAAGTTATGTCCATAGCAGCAGCCAAAGTAAAGTAATACTTACTTTGCTTTCTCAGTTGAGAGACTCCCATCTTTAGCTTACCAGCTTCTGCAGGATTGGCTGTGCTGATGGGACTTGCTGTGTAATGGTCTGTTTGGGACCTTCTATTCAACCAGACTAGTTTAGGGAAAAATCTGGAGGGTTTTGGCTCAAAATATGCATGTCTAAATATTGTGCACTCATGAGAAAGATTCTTCTCTTTCTCAAGATTATGATTATTAAATCAATTACGGAGAAGTCTTTCTTAACGAAAGACTCTTTTTTGTAGGATTTTGGATTGTAACATAATGGTTCACATGTAAGAAAGGTTATAGTTATATCTTACATATGGCTGAGATGGAAATTCTAAAACTTAGCACTAATTTACTCAGCTTATGCTAAACAGTAAAAGATCTGAGAAAAATTAACTTCATACACTGCTCACAGAACACAGATACACAAACTAGAAAGTGAATTAATTGTTTTCAAAGGGTTAAGATATCCAAAAGAAGTCACAAACAGCATAACAGGAAACACACCTTGTTAAATAATTTTGGGGGACTGGGTACAGGGGGAAGAAGGTTAATGGGCTAAATCCTTGGATTGGTTAAAGCTACACTGACCTGAACCTGGACCAACCAAGATTGGGCCCAGTTTGTTTCCTATATTACATACATTTTTGCCTTTCAAAAAAACAAAAATGTCAGGCATGTGTTTCAGAAATTGATATTGACCTGCTCTACAAAACAAGGAAAGACAGAAATTCTGGATTGTGTGGGTGGCTCTTAAAAATTTTTTCCCTTTTTGTATTTTTATTTAGCACTTGTCTAAACGGCTAAATATGTGTGTGTCCTGAGAGCATTCATCTGGAGAGAAACTTTCCCAGTATTAAGGGAAAGTTTTTTAAAAAATAAAACAGTCAGGTAATGACGAAAGCCTTGCACAGATAATTGAGTTGGATGTAATTCTCCTCAACTTTAAATAGATTTAATGATTAACTTTCACATTTCTTTGTTCACTATAATACTTCTAAGTGTTGGTTTCTGTGCTCTCTTATCAAGTATAGGAAAAATTCTCTGTATTGTATAAGCACATACATCTCCACAAGGTGTATATATGAGGATTCTGGTCTTTTTTTTTCCCCTCTCCTTTCTTTTTCTCCCATTTTGTGAACAGCTTGTTCCAGAATGGAACCTGGATGTGACTGTTACTTGTAAAGAACTGTTGTTATCTACACACTCCTTAAATGTCTGTCCTTTACAACCAGGTTCCAGGAAAGATGTGGTCAGTTCTTTCTTGTTTGAAAGATGCATCTTATGTGACATTTTAAAAAATATTTTGAATGCCTCTGTTGTTATCGGGGATATTTTTTAAATGGAGTTTATTTGAAATACTTTAAAATCAGGCAAGGCCAAATTTTCAATTGATAAATTACTTTGAGAGGGAGATAAGAGTGGGAGTGTGGACTTGTTCAAACAGCTTTATAGGTATGACTTATTAAAGGTTCACTCCCTTAAAAAAAATTGGTCTTTGAAGTTGTTTTAAGATGGGTGGACAGAAGCAGTTAAGTGTTTATACAGGAATAAACGAATTTCATACCTGCATTTAATTTTGAAACAAAATAATTTTACTTCTAGGCACTTGACACAAGCCACTTATGTGAAATATGATTTTGTTGAAATATAATTCTCAATGAGCAACTGATAGGGCCAGATGTGAAAAAAATGTTCAACGCTTTGAAGTCTGCAAAAGCTTGGAGTAGTTTTTTACTGGCTATGTAAGACTTGGTGTAAGCATCCAAAAGCACATATCTGTGAGAAGAGATGCAGGTGGTGTATTTTAATTTCTTTTTTTACCTTGGCCCTCCACCCCCCAGTAATGTAGTAGGTGCCAGTAAGAGTGTAATCAGTATTTTTTTAATAAATAAAAAAGACTTTAAATTACCATTACTGCTGGATTATTGGCACACTTGGTGTGTTTGCATGAAACATATCTGCTTTAGCTTTTCAATCAATTTTCGTGATTATTGTCTAGCTTCATTAAACTGGATGACTTTGTTGACAGCAGATAAGTGTCAAAGTATTGTGCAGACTGTAGGTACTACTTACAAACTTTGTCAAAGAAACTGTAATCTTTTCCTAAGAAAGGACAAAATAAAGCACATGTAACACTCTCTAAGTTAGCCAGCCTGTTGTTCATCACACCCTCAAGTCTGAGCTGACCAGCAGATGGCAGCTTAAAGAAACCTGGGAAAGATTTGAAGAGGTGCTTTTATTTTAATTTCATCACATCTTCCTTAGAGGAATTCTTTCTTCCTTCTGTAACACCTAGTGTCGAAACAAGCTCAGTTCCTGGTAATAGCTACAAATTCTTGTGTTTCCAGGACCTAACAATGCAAATTATAATAGTGCAAGCCTTAATGCTCTTTATCTGCATATTAAACCACAGCTTTTTTTCCCCATTACTGATTTGAGACAGATTTCATCCATGTGCATTTTTAATGGACATTAGCATGTACACACAGAGGACAAAACACAGCTCTTAAAAGGTAAGGTGTTTGCTTGAGGAGGCAGTCGAGAGACGTGCACAGCTTGCAACTCAAAAAGTTCATCAGCTCCATTTATCAACCCTGGAGTCTAGTTGTCCTAGAGTATGCAACTAAAAACTCTTATTGAAGGTGAAAATAAGTGATTTTTTGATCCTAAGAACAGGAAGGAAGAAGGGAATTCATGTTATTTTAAATGAACTACTGACCTAAGGAAAAAGCAGTTGCAGTTGACCTTGCAGGTTGTTAAACAAAATCACTGTGCTTCTAGCATTCATTCAAGCTTCCTGCTAATATAATTCTCTCTTCTAAGCATTGCTTAAGGATAAGTTAATATATAGTGCCACCTTACATCCTGTGACTTAGCAGACAGTTGTTTTGTTTCATGTGTTTGTTTCTGTATGCCTATGGTTTTATTTTTTTTTCCCATTTGAAAGCACCAGTAAGCAGTCAGGGGTACATTTTTATGGAACACTGCAAGTAGTTGGACTTTTTTCTTACTAAGCCTTGCTAAAGTCTCTAACATTTTACATGACCTGCATCATCCACCAGACCATACAGTTTTGTTACAATGGTTGTATTTTCACATGGAAAAAAGTTCTGAGTTTCACTTCGGTTCTTTGATGGCACATTCTGTGTAGAAAACTAAGTTTCTTATGTACTTATACTCCTCTTGTGTGTTACTTAAGCTTCAGAGTGTAGAGAATCTGTTAACTGAATGTTTACATGATACAGGTTTTTATTCCACATCCCCTAACAACGTATCATGAGTATCTGTAGGCAATTTTATACTGTTTTGAAATGTTCTCATAGTTTTAATTAACTTTCCAGGCAAATTCAGAACTGCATAACATCCTTATCTGAAACGTCTAAATCCTGCTAATAATAAAAATGAAACTTGTCCCAGGCTGTCTTTTTTTTTGCTATTATAGTACTGTGTACACTTGTGGCACCGCATACTTAACGAATTTATCTAGTCTAGCAGTATGGGCCAAAATACCACTCTTTATTCAGTTCAGGAATTCTTATATGAAATAAAGGAAATGTTAACTGTAACTCAATTGGCTCTGTCAGTTTTTCTGTCTCTGTGTGGGTGCACGGTAGATTGTCTTTTGAATACAGCCTGACCTGTTTGTATGTTGTTTATTGACTTACATAAGTTGTTCTTAGAGTAAACAAAACAAAAAAAACCCAAAACAACCTTCTAGCTGCTCAGATTTTGTTAATAAGAAAAAAATACGCAGTTGGATTTTATCTCTTGTAAAGATGGAAGAGTTTATTTATCAGAACATGCATACTCCAAGCTTTATAGAGAGAGCTTTTGGCC